GAGCACTGGAGTGTTGCTCTTGAATACCTGAAAAGGGCAAGCAGTTGGGTAGTGGACAGAAACTGGAAGAATAATTGGGAGGAGCAGGCTAGGGAAAAATTCCTAGATTCTGTTGAGGGCATAGGATACAAGAAGACTAAGGAAGGTTAGGAACTCCTTAGAGACTGATTTAGTGGTCCTGATCAGAATGCCGAGATAAATATGGACAGTAAGGGTAATTCTGACAAGGTTTCAGGTGGAACTGGAGGACAAGGTACTAGAAACTGGTGTAAAGTTCTTCTTTACCGTAAATTCATAAAGGAGCAGGCTGAATGAACTGTGCTTATGCTTGAAGGCTCTGTGGGAGACAGAACTGAGAGAGTGATGAATGTGGGTATTTGACAGAAGACATTTCTAAGTAAAATATAGAAGAAGCTTCATGGTTTTGTTTTACCTTTTATGATGAAATTTGGAAACAAAGGAGCAATTCAAGTAATTTACATAATTTACAATTACAAGGGAAGCAGAGCAGAAAGATTTGGGAAACTTTCAGCCTGACCATGTAAAAAGCAAAGAGTGTTCAAGAGAAGAAAACAAAGCTGTAGCCCAGAAACCTCTTGCCAAAGAGATTAGTTTGGAAAGAAGGGGTTCATCCAGAGAATGGAAAAAAAGTCATTTCAGAGCTCTTCTAGGTGTCCCTACCATCACAGATCCAGAGGTCTAGGAGGCAAATGGGTTTAGGGGATAGACCTGGGGCTCCCTCTACTGGCTCCCAGGACCCCTCAGGTCTCTTCTCCTTCAATATCAGTGTGGTGCTCCTGGGCCACACCAGCTGTGGCTAATGTGTCCCCAGGTGTGCCTTGGCCTGCCATTTAGAGAGGTATGAGCTGTAAGCCTTGAAGACTTCCATGTGATACTAATTTGCAGGCTTACAGAAAGCAAGAGCTGTGGAGGACTGACAGCTTCCACTCAGATTTCAAGAGATGTTGTCAAAAGCCTGAGGGACCCAGGCAGATACTTGTCACCAGGGTAGAGCTACACAGAGAGCCTTTACTACAGCAATGCTGAGTAGAACCGCAGGATTGAAGCTGCAACAGAGAGTCCCTGCCCAGAACTGCGGCTGAGACCCAAAACTGTAAAGCTACCAACAACTGGAAGAGCTGGGGTTTCTGATTCCAGTAAAACCATAGGAGTGGGGTTGTCAGAGGCCTTGAAGGCCCCGTTCCCCCACCACTGTACAGAGGGTACTTCATAACATTGAATTAAAGGAGATTAGTATGGCATCCTAAGATCCAGTGTCTACTCTCTTGAAATTTGCACTTTTGAGTTGCTGTTGGAAGGAGTTATAACTTTGGGGCTAAGAGACTAGAACACATGTATTTATATGTGAGAAAAACATGAGTTTCAGGGGGATGTGGGGGTGAAATGCCATAGTACAAATATTTGTCCCAACTAAAACTCATGTTGAAATTTTACCTTTAATTGGTCAGTATTGAGAGGCGAGGCTTTTAACAGAGGATCAGATAATGAGGGTTCTGCCCTAATTGATGGATTAATGGATTAGTGACTTAGTAGATCCATGTTGTTATAGGACAGGTACTGGTGACTTTATAAGAAGAGAAAGGGAGACCTAGGCTAGCATGCTCAGCCACCTTCTGTGTGATAACACGTGCCCCTCAGAACACTGCAGAGCATCCCAACCAGCAAGAAGGCCCTGACCCATTGAGATTCCTCGACGCTGAACGTTTCCATCTCCACAAAATAAGAAATAAAATCCTCTCCTTTATAAATTACTCAATTTTAGGTATTCTGATATAAACAACAGATAATGGACTAAGACAGGTTTCAAACACGTGGATAGATTGAAGACTGCTCATAGAACTGGAGGTTGGTTTGAAAGTACAGACTCAATGGTATGATAAGCCAAAGGTAATAGCAAAAAATAGGTGCTTACAATGGTTGTGAGACATTGCTGAGAAGTTGTGGGTTCATAGACATGTGTACCAGCAGAAGATATCTGGAAATCATGAAAACAAAACCGAAAGACCTGAAGTCTGGAAAAGACAAAATTAGATGTAGGAGAAACTGGATCTTAAGAGAAAATAGGCAATGGGAAATCGAATAGATAGAGCTAGTTGAGATATATGAGATAAAGTTTTGAAGAGATAATCTCCAAACTATTGACTAATACAGGCAAGGAGCAGGGCTGGCCATACTATGTAGGGTAATCCTTGCATAAACTTATATCCTGTATGTCTCACCCACTACTACTTACTGCTAATAAAAGCATAATGAGTTATTGGTGAATGCACAAGTTCAAATCATAAAACAAGTAAAGTATAATAGTTTATTCTCAGTACAGCCTAAATGTTTTCTTTAAATTTTATTGGTGAAATACATCATGCATGATGGGGTTTTTGAAAACACCGTATGATTTAGATTCAGCTCTTAAACAGTGTATAGTTTGATGTATCATAGAATCTAATAAAAATGCTAAACCAGGCCGTTAAATATTTATGCGCCGTTTGTATATTGTGTCTGGAAGGGACTTTAATTAGTTTGTTGCACAAAAGAGAATCTGCATTTCCATAAGGGGAAGAAATGTTAAGATGAATGGTCTAGCCAGAACTTCCCTCATAGAATGTTCTCAGGTCCAATCTGGAAACTATTCAAATAGTATTATAGAAATAAGAACAAGATGAAGTAAGGGCAAAAAATATAAAATGAAGATTAGTCAATCAATGAGAACATGTTATATTGTAATTAAGGCTTATTTGATGAAATGTGAATTACAGAGAATGCTGAGGATATTCTCTGCTCTGATAAACTTTCTCTTTAGTTGAGGGTACATCAAAAAACTCATTTTGTTGCCTTACTCATGACACTTTGGGCACATTCTTATGATTTTAATTAATCCAATATTCTCTTGCAATATCTCAGGAGGGATGCCAAGGGAATAGGAATTAACCTGAGATTAGGAGAGGGCTGGCCTTGAGAAAATCAAACTCTTCACATCTCAGCTGTGCAAACTTGTGCAGGTTATTCTCTGAGTCCTATTAGTTTTAATTTATTGATTAGAAATACTAATAGTTTTTACAGAGACTTTGTGAGAAGTAAAAATGAGAGAAATTATGATTTAATTAATAATCATAATTCTCAGTCCATAATGATGTTTATCCAAAGTTTTTCTTCCCATTCTTGTCTCAGGGTCATTATTCTGCATATGTTTTTATTCCTGTATCCATGTTTAATTAATACATTTTTCTGAGCCTACCTGTCTGTCTTGACTATGATTTCCTCTCAGTTCTCATTGCCACATTTTAAAATTAAATACTTAACAAAATCAACTTACTAAATTCCCTGGGGGAATCTAGGTTCCCTGGGGGAAAATCAGGCACCACATAAACACTTCCAGCTCATGTGTCTCTATTAATTGTTCTGAATTACAAATTCCATATTATGTTTTAGTTCTTTGGCTATTGTTTAAAATCCGCATCTCTATGTATTTAAGTTTATATCTCAGTATTTTCAGCATGATGTCTTTGCTTGAGATGATAGCAAATAGGTATGCATGCCATATGTACATTAAAGGCATCACCCATAACTAATTTTGTCACCGTTTTGTCCCTAAGTAAAGTAACTCTAAGCTTATTTTTCTTGAGCCACTTATTTTACCCCTCCATGACTCAATATTGTCATCTAACAAATGGGAATACGAAACACTGTCTACCACATAAAGTAATGCTCAATATGTGTCTGCTGTTTTAGAGTTGTTATGAAACAACAGTAATTTCCACAGAACAGCAATTTCCCTAGGAATTTTCCTATGTTAATTTACAATGATCTCTCTTCTTTGAACCAGGTAATATTTGATGCTAATCCTGTTACGTTGTAGGTCTTTAATTCACTTGGCTTTGTGTACATATTTAACTCTAAACAACAGTAACGAAATGCATTATTTAATGGCTTGACTTGAATTATAGTTATTTTCATATCTTCAGTAGAATTGTGGGTATAGTGAAGTGGCAAATGAACAAAAATCAGCTGTTACAGAAACCGCACAAGAAATAAATAAATGCAGTACAGCTTTAGTTGTTTTTGTTGTGGTTTTTATATTAACAAAAATGCAACAGTTTTTAACAAAAATGCAAACGAAATCAAAATCCAGATTGATTTTGATTTTGCTTGCATTAAAATAATATAATTTCTGATTTTAGTTTCTTATTCCTTCTCAGGAAATTCTTGTATTTCCCATTCCCTCCCAGAAACATAAGTGCTTATGGAAAGGGAACTTTTGATAAGAAAAGCCATATATTCATTTATATGGAATTTGACTTAAATTCTAATATTTTGATCAAATTTTGTAGTGTCTATAAGTAATTTACCATTGGTGGTTGAATAATGAATGTTTCTCAAATGCATTTTTCTCCTCCTTGTTTAGCTTCTTTTGAAGTACACTTTTCTACAGAGCTTTATTTTTTTCACCTATCCATTCAACTATGTTACACTGTCCCACAGAGCTCAGAAGCCAATCACTTATTTATTTGTTGTACTATCATTAACAATAATTTGCAGGAGGCTGAGGCAGGAGAATTGCTTGAACCCAGGAGGCGGAGGTTGCAGTGAGCCAAGATCGCGCCATTGCACTCCAGCCTGGGTAACAAGAGCGAAACTCCGTCTCAAAAAAAAAAAAAAAAAAAAAAAAAAAAAAAAAAAAAAACAATAATTTGCTTGATTCCTTTAGGCTGTTATAACAAAATTAACTGGATAATTTATTAACAACCAAAATTCATTGTTAGAATTTTGGCCTCAAAAATTCATTTTTTTAAAAAAATCTGATAATTATTTATTGAAAGAAATGATGGGATGAATCCCAGACTCTGGTATAAGCCACCCCCTGGCACACACACCCCTCCCCTGACATCCAAAAACCGTAGCCTGCCGTAGCAGATGTGCTAAGGCAATAACCCTGGATTCCCTCCAATTAGTGCCCTGTACCCAGGCGGGAGGAGGGTGCGGGATTAGTAGGTATCTTCAGGGTCAGAGCCTGGGTCCTCCTCGCCTTGCTGGTTCTGAATCTGACTTTGCTTCCGGTACAAACAGGCCACCTGGGCACTGGTGGTCGCCTGCTCCGGCTGCTTGTCTTCACGGACTCGAATGAACCGAGGGAAGCGAAGGGAGATGCCCTTGTCACTATCCAGCAGGCCCCGAGCAGCAGGGTAGATGGGGGAGAGGGCGAGGTCAGCGCACTTCTCCTCCCACGCGGCGCTGGGCTCCAGCCAGTGGTCGGGAGTCACCGCGCCATCTATGCGCACACAGGGGCGCGGGCTGGGCAGCACCGGGGCCTGGAGGCTCTGGTGCTGCACCTCTAGCTCGTCGTCGCTGAAGCCAGTTCCAAGCTTGCATATGGCCTGCAGCTCCTTACCGTCGTCATCGCAGCGGGCCAGCAGGAAGCCCCCGTATCGGCCCGCACGCTTCCCCTGGCCCAGGGAGGCGCCGATCACCACCAGGTCCAGAGTGTCTCCGCGCCACTGAGGCAGTCCTTCTTCATCTTGAGCCAGTCGTGTGATCTCTTGGCGATCTCATGGGTAGCATCAACATCCAGGGTCTTCATCATTAGCCCCTCGCAGGAGTCTTTCACCGACTGCCCCAGGAACTCGGCCATCTGTTCAACGTCCTCGGTGTCCAGAGAGGTGGCGAAGACGAACCCCCCCTCTGTCTCCACGAAGTTCTCCCGGAGCAGCTGCCGGCGGCGGGAAAGGGGCTCAGGTACCAGGGACCCTCCATTGAGGTCGTTGAGGTCGAAGGCGCACAAACACACCTGCACCTGGATCTCAGACGCATCCACCTCCTTGCGTTTGCGGGTGGTGAACACTTGCAATGGCTGGATCTGCTTATTTTCCCAGTCCCAAGCCACAGCTTCGGTGTCCAGGATGAAGGATGTGACCAATGGGAGTTTAATCCTGGGGATGCGGCTGATGATGTCCGGGTACCTCCCAGTGTTGTCTTCCTGGCTCCTGCTGAAGATCTTCACCTTCCCGCTTTCCAGAGCATGGATCTGTGCCCTCTGCCCGTTATATTTGTATTCGCAGGTGAAAGCTGCCTCCTTAAAGCGTTTCAGAACCTCATTGATGCCCCACGTGGGATGGGCCAACATTGGTTTCAGGGGAATTCCTGCGCTCAGCTTGCAGTGCTCCGCCAGACGTTCCAGGCCATGCTCCAGCAGCACGGGGACGATTCGGTCCAGGTCAGACACCTCACAGAACGTCTGCTTCAGGATCATGCCTTGCTCCTCCAACCACGTCTTTCGGGCCTCTGCTGCCTTACCCTTTCCAGCATCTGCCACGGCCGGTGGGAATTCTCGGCCTGGGGGCGTGAGGCTCACAGCCTGGGAGAGGGCAACCAGCCCTGACTGCTCTGCCAGCCCGAGGCGTAGCGGTCCGCTCAGGGACCTGGCGATGTACCGGGCTTCTGAGTGGCAGCAGGCAACAAAGAGGGCTTTGATGATGTCTAGCATCTTGGCTGTGGAAGCACTGCCAGTGAGCCTGGCCATGTCTCGGACATCGGGACAGTGAGCTGGGAACAGTGATAAGAACCACTGGAAAACATACCAGTGGGCCCTAAGTCATTCTGATCACAGATCACTTCTCTTTGGTCCCCAACCCTTTAAGGCCTATTAAGTAGGCATATGATAAGCCGTGCTTTGCCTAATTCAAGGTAGCACCAAAGATCATGGAGGTAATAGAAATCTCCTAAGGTACTTTCAGGCCTGAGACCCAGGCTTCCTTCAGAGCCTTATAAAGGAGTAAGCTTTCCTGTTGCCCTACGGGAGACTTGGAGTTAAGGAGTTTCACAGCCCTGGCCCTGCCGTCCAATTTAGGGCTTGCTCTCAGAACAGGACAGCTCTTACCACCCCGCTCCACCTGGGTCCTGCCCCAGACTATTTCATACCTCACTATCCGGTTTCCATGAAAGGCCTGCGACAGTAAGAGCACCCCTGTGAAGATCAAGTTGCCAGAAGATTTAGTGTCTGGTGATGATTCTCTGCTTCATAGATGACACATTCTATGGGTTCTTACCTGGCAAAAAGAACAAACTCCCTCATGCCTCTTTTATAAGGGCACAAATCCCTTTCCTGAGGGTTGCCCTTGTGATTAGGAAAAGCACCCTTTTAAAAGTCAACTTCCAGAAGTCCCATCTCCTAATACCAACATATTTGTGACTAGAATTCAATATACAAATTTGAATGGGACACAGTCATTCAGACCATAGCATTAACAAATTAGAGAAACATAAATCATGAAGTTCAGGTGATATATATTCAATGCAAAATTGGTGTTAAAAATGTAGGTGGTATTAATTAGTTACTACTAATGTATAGTTATTCAAGTCTTTTTATTCCCATCACTGGTGACTAAATTCAGAAGCAAGGAGTTCAAATTTCAATAAAGAATAAAAATAATATTTAAAATAAAATAATTTAAAAAGCCAATTAGTAAAAACACTGGGCTTGACATCAAATTGTAATGATCTTAAAAGCTATCATTGCTATTTGGTAAAGAAACTCACATTGAATGTCTAGTACAGAAAAGAAGACAGAATACTAAATGAAATTATCAAATATGAAAATAAGAGCAATGCTAAAAAATACAATAAGAAATTCTACATTAAAAAGAAAAGGATATTCCAAGGAAAAACATCAAACATTATATTCTTCATATTGAGCTATTCCTTTCTGAGGGCTTACCCATACGACATGGTGAAAAGGAAACTGGATTAGTTATTTAGGTAATGGAGAAAAAACAAAAAATCACAGAAACATTGCTTTTATTCTGAATGATTTCCAATTTATAATTCTGACAGTAGTATCATGTGTCACATAGTAGATGCTGGATATGATTCTTTTCTTTCTTTCTTCTTTCTTTCTCTTTCTCTTCTTCTTTCTTTCCTTTTCTTCTTTCTTTTCCTTCTTTTGTCTAATATTTTTCTCCTGCAGTAAAGTTACTTACAATTTGTAAAATAATAACAAAAGTCAAATAGCATTAAGTCAAATAGGTTCTACCAGAGTAATGACATTGTAGCAGCTCCCTATTGTTATATTTTACAAAGTTTCAAAGATTGACATTAATATGATCTCATGGTTGAGTAAAGAGAGGCACATCAAAAATTGACAAATTTCAAGCTCTATTTACTGTATTTCGTAATGTGGCTTAATATTTTCTACATTACTCAAATATGAAGTACTCATGCATATTTGATGGGAGAAAATTATCTCTATAAAGAGTTATGTTCATGATTTAATTTTGTTTAGTAGAAGTAGAGGCTAGTAGCTGAAAGATTGGGGTGTACAGAGCTAAGAGCTGAGGATTATATATATTCATATTGTCATAGTGGATCATATATGATGTACCGGGACATAAATAACTTCTAATATGAAGATTGAGTATAGGCAGTGGGCTATGAAACTATTTCAGCAGGATGGAACATATGTACATATATCTTTAGTGAAACGTGAATTAGATTGCATATCATACCTGTTTTTCAGAAAATGTCAGTAACTGACCATAGGTTTAAAACACAATCAACTACATTTTGGGGAAACATTATAGACTGTTTAAGAACTATAACATTGTCTCTATCCCTAACCGTAGTTTATTGCAGCTTTCTGGTTATTGGCAAAATATTTATCTTTGCTGTCTGGCACAAAGGGAGATTTTAATGATTATTTTTGAGATGGAGTCTTGCTCTTTTGCTGAGGCTAGAATACAGTAGCACAATCTCAGCTCACTGCAACCTCCTCTTCCCACATTCAAGCAACTCTCCTGCCTCAGCCTCCTGAGTAGCTGGGATTACAGTATGCGCCACCATACCCAGATAATTTTTGTATTTGAAGTAGAGATAGGGTTTCTCTATGTTGGCTAGGCTAGTCTTGAACTCGGGACCTTAGGGTGACCTACTCCCCTCGACTTCCCAAAATGCTGGGATTACAGGCATGAGACACTGTACCCGGTAAAAGGGAGGTATTTTTATGACAGGAATATGATCATGGACTTTGAGGTCAGAATGATTGCGACACTAGTAAGTCAGGTTGTGAATAAGTTACTTCTTTGTAAAATATCAATAAAAGCATCACCTTTATTAGGAAGTAGTGATTATTAAATGACATAATATTTATTGTCATAAAATTGACATAAAATATTGTCATTCTTTTTGTGCTTTTTGCAATGCATTTTCCATAGTGTATTGTAATTCTTGATTTACTTATCTTTTTCATCTGGACTTATAACCCTTTGAAGAAAGAAAGTGTCTGTTTTTTTTTTCCCCCACTTAGTGTCTAGAGCAATATCAATATTCGTTCATAAATAAATGGAAGTGATGTGCATGCCATTGACTATCTGACAATAATTTTCCAATATTCCCCTAAGTTAAATTTCTCCACTCATATTTTTATCATATTTGTTGTATATGACTTTCATGCATCTAACTTTGAATGAACAATTTGGCTAAACATGTAAAATGAGTAGGAAAGTACCATTAAGTAATATAAAAGTGATAGAGGATAGAGTTCTTCATCAACTTCATATCTTACAGCTTAGTTGCATTTTTAGACCCAAATCTTCACCTTCCTCTGAATGTTTTCTCTTCTCTCTGCTGGACATATATCAGTTGCTGCCCCGCATTCACTTCCAACCCATCTTCACACCTCTTGAAAGCATATCGTAATTATTTCTTGACTTCTGACTTCCTGTCAGTGGAGGCACCAGCAGTAGATCTTAGACAGAAGGAGAGAGATGATGGAATATTTGTTCCCCTCACTTATTTCCTTCTGGGTTTTGTGGTTCTTCACTGACCCTCTTTTCTATCCATCCAGCTACCTCTCCAAATTCCCTTAACTGGCTCTTCTCCTTTTTCCTTTCTAAAAAAACCTTAATTTAGATTTAAGGTACAAGTGTAGGTTTGTTACATGGACATATTGCATGATGGTGGGGTTTGGGCTTCTAGTGTGTGCTTCACCCAAGTAGTGACCATTGTAATCAATAGGCAATTTTTTTAACTTCAACCTCCTTTCAACATTCTCCATTTTGGAGTTCCCAGTGTGTATTGTTTCATCTTTACTACTTTATCTCCCACTTACAAGTGGAAACAGTATTTGATTTTCTATGCTTGAGTTATTTCACTTACAGTAATAGCCTTCAGCTCCATCCATGTTGTTGCAAAGGAGACAATTTTTTTTTTATGGCTGCAGAGTATTTCATACTGTATATATACCACATTTTCTCTATTTAATCACCTGTCGACTGACACGTAGCTTGATTCCATGACTTTGCTATTGTGAATCGTACTTGAACAGACATATGAGTTCAGATGATTTTTAATACAATACTTTTTTAAGAGGGGATAGATACTCAGTACTGAAATTGCTGAGTCAAATGCTGGTTGTATTTTTAGTTCTGTGAGAAATCTCATCACTGTTTTCCACAGAGGTTGTACTAATTTACATGCCTACCAACAGTATGTAAGTGTCCTCTGTTCACTGCATTCATGCCAGCATCTGTTGTTTTTTGGCTTTTTAGTATTAGCCATTTTAACTAAAGTAAGATGCTATCTTATTGTGGTCTTGATTTGTATTTTTTTGATAATTAGTAATGTTGAGCATTTTTCTTTTTTATACAAGTAAGTGGCAAAACATTATGTTCTTTACTGCAGGTAATCCAGGTTCAGCCCTATTCATTGCTGTTTTTCTAAGTTCATCAAGAATTTATAGGTAGCTCTTTTATTGAACTCCCTTAAAATTACTCAGTTCCATGTGTAAAACCATGAAGATAATTGTAATTAATAACTGTAAAGATGTGGTAATTTTTTGGATTAAAAATGATTATTTACATGAAGTGTTTATCACAGTAATTTAATGAGGAATAAATGAGTTAAGACATACAGAGCACTTAGAGCACTGATTGACATGGGGTACAAGCTCAAAAAAGGCTTTGAGATGTTACAATTGTTATCAGTGTTTTGCACATATTATTTTCATCTCTGATATTTTACAGCTTTCTCTATCTCTTGACTTAATTTTCAAATTCATGAAGAAAGTGTCCATGCTTCCGTTATTCTTCTATCATTACTGCTTATCATAAGGTGGGGAACAAGGAACACTCAACATTTTTTTAAAGCCTAAATAAATAAATAATTCACAATACACTTTTGAAGAAAGAGCAGCATGTTTAGTTATTATGCTAAATATAATATTAAAGATCAGTTATTTTAATTTATGGTCTGTATTTCTATAGAAATAGGATACATCTTTTGAGACTATAACTATGGATACAGCCAAGCATCTGGAACCTTACTGAGAAATGAAATGATTAGGATGATTATGTTCTTAACAAGCTTATAACACATCTGCTAATGTGAACTCGAGCTATTGAGCAGGTAAAGCCTTCTGCAATATTCCATCATGAGTAACAAGGCATCTTTCAAATTTAAGTATTTACAGATTTGTTTTTCTTAAGAACTAAATTTGTTTGTGAAATTGCATTTGAAACTGACTTCCTA